ACTCAGTTGAAAGTTATTTAATATGTGATGTCACTTGTAGGTTGGCATCTGCAGCAGAACTTTAGTTTTTTATAGTTTACTTTTCTTTTTAACAAGTAGAAACAGTTAAATAACTGGATATTAGTATCATAGGTCGACAATGGGTTTCTTGCATTTTAAACCTGACATCAGTAAATGTTTCACCACATTGTTTCATTTGATCTCTTGGTGCTGTTTACAATCTTCTTCTCAAGTTGGTGCAGGAGATGACAAGATTTCTTTAGCTCTATGTAAACTGGATCGCTTTCATTGGTTCCCCCAAGTTCTTTCAGGTATTATGGATTGTGCAGGTTGGATAAAATCCCATATACGTTTCACTTCCCCACCTGAATAATCATACTTCAGTGATTCTTCTTCCTTCTTCATATCACATTTATGTTTAAGAGTTGGCTATTCTTTAGGCTTGTCAGTGTATTTTTATACATCTCCTTTTCTCTTAAAATCACCAACTAAATATATGCTGAACATCAGCACTGTTATGTACGAAGGATTACTTTACACTCACAAAATCAGGTACAAACTTGTCAAGGTCTTGCCATCAATATGATAAAAGCAGGTTATTCAAGGATTTCTTAGCTCTATAAAAAATCCTGCATGATTTTCCTACTTCAAGCAAATTTTATACAAAAACAACATAAAATATGGGACAAAATATATTGTTGCGTCAGCGAGGTCATGTGACTAGTATCACGCCACTCCTTCTCTCGAACCTTCGGGAATTGTCGGGAGATTACTAGATATAGGGTAGTCTGGTATATATAAGATGGTGACAACGTGGCCCTACACATTGTCCCTAATGAGTAATTGAACTGCAGTCAGAGAGTGTGTAATTGAACGTAGTATTGTTGAAGTCGAGCTCGTTAGACGTGAGTTATAGCGTTTGTATAGAGCGACTGTTGAAATTGAGTGTATCGGTAAAGTTGTATTCGGAACGGATAAACCAGTTTTATTTAAGAAAGGACTTGTGTCGCTAAAGTTTCGTCGGAACGAATTTACGGAAAATTAATTAACGAATGAAGGCGTAACAGTATAAATATTTATTTTCAGTGGCTTTGTTTTGAAAACCTCAATCAAATATTCTAAATTATTTTGTAATAAATATAAAAGTATTTACATAAGTACCAAAATTATGACAGGAATAAAATTATAATATGTACAATAGAAAATATTTTCTAAAATTTATTGGTGGGAAATAATTAGAATTACTTAACTGGACATTTTTATATCTCATGAAGGTGGATTAATGTAATTATATCACATTCTCTATATAAGAATTGCTACTGTGTGGATATCTTTAGAACCTTTGAAGATCCAGATAGTAGCATAGAAGGATGAAGGATTGGAGCTATACTAATAGGAAAAGGTTGGACTTAGTATAGTAGTACTTTAATGTGTTGGTATTTATGTCCAAACGTCATACTTGGGGCTGGAATGACAACTTCAAGCTTTGCTGTTTCTCAATTATGTATAGTAAACTAATTATTATCTTTCTTACTATTTGTTATTATTTTTTGTGAGCAACCATCTTTTCTCTTCTGGCTGCAAGAAGTGAAAGTTGGTAAAGATGTGGAGAATTGTGGGCTTGAGCATCCACATCTGCGTCTTTTCTCTTTTCTCAGAATGTGAGGCCAGCAAAATTGAGGGTAAAGTGAATAGATTGTGTTGAGTATTTGTTTTTTGGTTGAATATTTATTTTTTCACTTATTTATATATATTTTACCTTCTTTACTAAACGGATTTACATCGCTAGAATCAGGGGTTCAATTCCCCTCGTTGGACACAGCAGATAGTCCGAATGAGTAGGCGTCGTAGGAGTTTACTCTATTCTGCAAGTCTGTCAATTACTCCATCCAAAACCAGGTTCATAAGTATGTCTTTTTCTGTTGCTAATAGCATGAAAGACTCCAAATTCTCTTGAGATACAGTGCTCCTCAATCGGTTTTTAATGAACTTCAAAATGGAGAAACTTCTCTCACAGACAACTTGTCTGAAAGAGAGAGTCAGTAGGAAATTGTAGGCTAGGCTTATCACGTTATAGGCATCAATTAATAAATTGTTTCACCATAGAACTTGATAGCAACAAATAGCACAGTTCTTTTACGATGATCATGTCTTATTCACTAGCTCCATTTCCATATCACCTCATTCTTTGCTCATTTCGTCTTCCACAGGTATTTCTCTTGCTAACCTGAGAGTGTATTCGTCTAGTGCTGATGCCTTCAGCTTGTTCCAGTGCAAAGCTAGACTAGTTAATTCACAGCACAAATTTTCAACTGTGGCTCCTACGTCAAATTTGAGCAAGCATTTGCTTAACTCTTGTAGAGCTGATGTCTGAAGTCCACAATCTGTTATGTCAGATCCTTGGATCCAGACAAGCAAAATCGTCATAGAGTGTTCCGTTTTCAAGAAAACGGTGATGCATGCCCTTGGTGTTTGCGTCAGGGATTAAGTTGTGGATTTGTATCTCATAGGCTGTAATTACATCAGTTGTGATTTCATCTATTGCTGACTTGCTTGCCATGGTTTTCTTTAATAATTTTTCAGGCAGAGCAGCTTGCACTTCAAGTTCACAATTTTCATGTTCTTGCAGTTGTCATTTGTCCACTCTACAAAATTTTCTGTAGCATTCTTAACAACATCGAAATCTTTGACATACTTTTTGAGATCTTCTTGTACTCCAGACACCATGCGATGAGCCATTAAGATATCCATTCCGTTTGTTTCTAGATATTTTGACAACAGTGATGTCAATTCAAATGTTCGCAGAACGATTCGAGCTGTCAGAACTGTCTCATATTTAAGTAGAGATTCCGTATATGATTTCGCCTTTATGCGCACAACAGGTTTATACCTATGATTCTCTTTAATCTTTGCCAAAGTGACAACAAAGTTAATGTACATAACATAATCCGGATTTGAAAATTATCCAAATATTTTTATCAGTGATGCTTCTTTAGACTACCAGCGGGTTTCGCCAATCATAGATAGTATTCGAAGGTGAGTATCTTGACTTACATTTTCCCATGCATTCATACGTTGATGTGACTCTCAAATAAACAATGTGACGTCATTCAATAAAGTGAATAGCGATTAACTTGCAATCACAACCCCTAATACCAATACTAAATTTAGTACGCGTGCATAACACCAGATATGAATTTGGCCTTGAGACTTTGTTAGTAGCCACTCAGAGAAGCCTTGATATTGTCCTTGTAAATTTGCTGCCCCATAAATTGAATTGCCAGTGCATTTTCTTATGTAAGTTTTGTATGAGTTGAGATCCCGCAATAGCAAGTGAAGCGAGTATTCATTCCCCAGCTGACGATTTACAATCTACCAGTGCAAGGAGCTTCTCATGAATACCGAACGATAACCGAGCACTGATATTTTGATGTAATATCCTGAGTTTATACTGAGAACATTCCAGCTTCTCTCTCTTCACTTGCGACACTCTCCTGAATAAGTTGCCGAATTGTTTCTACTACTGCATTAACTATTGTTTTAGAGATCAAAGAGCAAAGGTGACGCTGTTTGATTAACATTTAATTCAGGACGCATCTTGTGTATCCAAAAGTTCTCCTCTGAGCGAAGCATTTCCTTACTAACCACACTCCACAAGATGTTGAAGTGATTTGATGTAACAATGATGTCCCAGTCAAAGTTATTAACGATCCTCTAATCCAGTGGTTCTTAACCTTATTTGCTCTATGCCCCACCTCGAAACCTCAAAAAAATTTAATGCCCCCTTAATAT